AGCGTTACTTAGGGGTCCTGCTGGGCCCTCTGGAATTTCCCTACCTACCATCTGTACACCTGTCTCTACTCTTTCTGTCTGAAATAACTGCTCCTGAAGGAATGTCCATGTGATGGGCTCACGTCATTCACAGAGTATAATAATCCTCATACCTCACCCCAGAAGATCTGCCCCTAAAGTCTATGCAAACCCAGCCTAAGTCACACCTTCAATCTAAACACAATAGGGCTCCAGTCAAGACATGAACCTGGGCCCACGTAAGGAGGGCCCTGTTTCTATACTCCTGCTCCCAAAGGATAAGGAGTTACCTAAACTGTCAACTCAGAGTCCTCTGTATGTAGACCCCAGGCTCGGTGGGTCCCCAGTACAGCACAGGGCAGCACAGCTCACAGGAGGGCTCCCCAGCAAGCAGCAGCTCACAGTGCAAGAGCCTCCAGGCTTTCTCATCAGCCGACAGGTAAGAAGCAGGAGGGGGAAAGGGAGGGGTGGGGCTTGAGGTTTCAGTAAACAAACATCAAAAGTGTGGACCTCAGTCTACTCATGACAAGAAAAAACATTCGCACTGGCTTGTTTTTATATAAAACACACTAACAGGATGACCCAGAAGTGATGGAACCTGGTTATTTGAGGGTGGATGGAGTAAGCGCACAGGAGTGGAGCAGGATATGCTGGCAGAGGTTCTGAAGTTTGCTTCTTATCTTAGAAAAATTTTTAACCTTCCCATGCAGATTTATTTAAAATAAAAAGCAATGTTTATATATACCACATTTCCTATGATTAATCATTATTTTAAATTAACTTTTGCTTTTTAAAAATAACTTACCTTTTCTACATAAGAAACCACTCCACAATTGAATCCTTTAAACACTAAATGATATAAAAATGGAGACCATAAAAAATTTATAAATCTCTTTCTAACTAAAAGGACAAAAGCATTATCACAGTTTTCTCTCTACTGTATTTCACAATGAGGATATTTTCAGGAATGAGTAAGATATAATGCATTAGAAGTTTGCAATTAAGCTCTGAAATGGATTAGGAATTTCAAACATTTACATAAGCTTTAATGTGTTTCCTCTCATTGAAAATAAATACTCAATTGGTTTTTTCCTCACATCCATTAAAATTGGAGTTCATTTACCTTGGGAATAGTAAAGGCTTTTACATATCAAAGTTCTCCAGGGAAAGGCACATACAAAACTGACCTAAAAATGGAAAATGTACCTGAGAACTTAAAAACACCCACCTCACGTCTTCAAGTTCTCTTGCCTGAATGGAAGCAAAATTCTATTTATTCCCACAATCACTCTTGCCTTGTTCACATTATTTCCTTCAGTCCAGTTATATGTTAAAAGCCCAGCTGCTAATGGAAGCAAGAATGTAAAGGCTGCAATAGTCAATGGTTAAAGAAATCCAATGAAAAGAAACACAAATATTGGAATCAAAACAGATAAGCAGCCTGCTTACCCACAGTTAAGAAGAAAAACCCACGTTCAGAAAATTAAACGTATTCGAAGCTTAGACACCCTGGGTTGAGACAGAACCCCTGGAGTGGGTCAGTTCCTGGAGAAGGAGGGTAGGGACATTGGAATAGCCCCAGGAATGAACTCTGGGAGCCACCCCCCCACTCCTGTAATCATGGAAGCGCTCCCTCCCTGAGGCTTCCATTCTCACAGTGAGGAAACTCTCAGGCTGATTCACTTTAAGTTCTGACCCAAATGAACTTCCCAATTCATAAACCCTTTGTCCACGAGACACACACCTGATCTTCACAGACCATCTCACTGTGCACAAATTATACTCTGAATCCACCTACACTGTGGATGCAAAACTCAAACTAAATGTCTAAAAATGTCTAGACTTATGAACCCACAACCTCAGAAGGGTTGTCACCTCCTCCTCCCCTCCTTCTATACATGCACCCCCAATTTCCAGGGCCACAGCTTCTCTCAGGGTAAAGGCCCCTCCATGGTGGGTGTGAGCAGGTAGGACACCTGCAGGGGAGGCTCCCCAGGAAGAGCCACTGGGCCTTCAAGTACTTCCCTTTTGTAAAAAAATAATAAATGGAGCTACACTATAATGGACCCAGGGGTGCCATCTCAGAAGAACTGCCTTGTGCCATCTTATAATTCAAACCTCAGAATATTAAAACAGGTCAAAATAACCTTTGGGCCAGGCCTAAACCAACACTGTGTCCCAAAGAACTGTTTGCAAGGATAACAAGAAAGCAGATATTATCAACAGGACTGATGACTAAGTGAAAATGAAAACCATTGTTCAGAATTAGCGTCACTATGTTATGTCATCTGCACCAATAAAAACGCTTTCCTTCTGATATAATTGTTTCCGTTTCCTTTCTCATAAATACCTCTTGCTTTTATCTCCTACTAGGAACATTATCTGGGCTTCTGCCTGAATCAACCCTTCCTATTTCACTAAGACATAGCTGTTCTTAGTGATCTCCAATAAATGCTTGTTGCCTCTCACTTTGAAAGGGTTTTTTGTTGTTGTTTTGTTTTCTAGGTTAGCACTTTACAGGCTCAAAGGAGTCTTGGCTTGAGTCACTGACAACAGGTTTCTGCTCCTCACTAGAGTTGTTTTGGAACATTGTTGATGCTTTAAATGATACAAACCCAGTGCTTGAACAATCCACCAAAATCATTTAAATCCAGTATTTATGTGGAAAGAAGGAAAAATATTGTAAAGGTCTTTTTCTAGTTCAACTAGAAAACCCTTAATATATACTTAGAAAAAAAAAGGTATCAGTTAATTATATTTTCAGGGAAAGAAACTAATTTGTAAATAATTAATCTACTTGAACAATTCTGCTCTGCAAGGCTAAGCCTGAAAATTGTATTTTAAAACACCTCAAATAAAACAAACCTCAGAAACTTACTACAGATGCTCAGGAAGAAAGACTGAAAGAAGAAGTCTACAAAAATGGAATGTAATACTGAAATACTTTATTTTTTCTGAATTCACCTCTTTCGTGACTGTTTGGAACTATTTTATACTGTCTTTCAAGCTCTACTGATTAAATAAATACATTTTACCCCTATTAATAAAATGAGACTTAGGGCTGGCTGAGTGGCGCATTGGGTTAGAGCTGGCTTGGGAGCACCAGCTCTGAGCAGCAGGGCCCCGGTTCGGATCCCACATGAGGGCCATTGACTCTGCGCCCTCTACAGCTAAAATGGTGAACAACAGCTCAACCTGGAGCTGGGCTGCTTTGAGTCGCCAGTGATGGTGTAGGCTGCAGTGAAGCTGCAGTGGGCTGCCATAAGCTACTGTTGAGTGGCTGGCAGCCAGCGTGAGTGGCCGGCAGCTGGCGTGAGCTGTCAAGAGCCGCTGTGAGCGGCTGTCCAGAGGCCGGCGACTGATCTGCCTCACCTGGGAAGAGCACAATGATAATACCAACATGGGCCAGTGAAGCGACGTCCTCCGCAACTAGACTGAAGAACAAAAGGACAGCAACCTGTCTGTTCCCCTTCCCCAATTTCCCAACGCTGTTCCTCTCCCTCAATTCCCCAATAAAATCTTTAAAAAACAAACAAAAAACTTAAATAAGTCAATAAATGTTTTCAAGAGACAAAGCCAGGAAGGGTCAGTGCTGACAGGAGAGATCACCCAGGAAGGTTTCCAAAGAGGAGCCTCCACCCAAAGGACTTCCCATAGGATGTCTGTGCCCAGGGAAGGTCCTGGGGGAGAGGACCGGGATTTCATAAAACGTCTTCCAGGTGGTTATTGTCTGCTTTCTTCTCAAGTAAAATATCCACAGACAATATAAATCTTTAAAAAAGAGCATTGTGGGCTGGTCGAGTGGCTCAGTTGGTTAAGAGTTGGCTTAAGAACCCAAGTTCTGAGACACAGGGCCGCTGGTTCGATTCCCACATGGTCCAGTGACGCTGCCACCGAGCTGAGCTGCCACTGAGCTGAGCTGGCAGGATGGCTCAGCTGGTGAGAGCACGCACTCCTAACAACAAGGCTACCTGCTCAATAGTGGGCTACACTCACCCGCAACTAAGACTGAACTCAGCACCTTGAGCTGAGCTGCCGCCTGGATGGCTCAGTGGATACAGCGGGCACTCTTAACAACAAGGCTGCTGGTTTGACTCCCGCATGGGA